CGACATCGGGAGCTTGTGCGAGCAAGGAGTGCCAGTTTCGATCTGCCTGTGTTCTGTGTGTGTGTTTGTATGTGTTTGTCTGTGTGCAGGACTTCTAGCGCTGGGCGATGTCTGCAGCTGACTTACATGACTTCTTAGTTATGTGTGCTGGTCACTGCTGGATGTGCAACTATCGTGAGGCAGGGGCTGCCACCATACTGGATGTACGATATTGTTAATGGGAGTTCGATCAGGGTCATATTATCCATGACGGGTTTACTACGTTTTGCAGTAATGATGCCTAGGAAGCTAGGGTTGGGCGATGGGCGCTTGGTTGGCCTTAGCGAGCGACGGGGGGTAGGATAGTATAAAAAAGGCAAGGCAATAGGAATGGCCTCAGGTTTTTGGGAGATCTGATTTGAGGGCTTCCTCCTGAAGAGTCTATGTACGCGGGATAGACGAAATGCGTCGAGGGTTGGCCGCGTGATGGTGGTTGTATGTCTATCAAGGATTATTTTTCTGAGAATCGGTTCTCCGTTTTGGTGTGCGTGATGGCTCGTTTTCCATTGGAGTATATGCTGATGTCGTCCTCATGCTTATGCTGTCTATGCCGGGCAGTCTTCACTTTTCGATTACCGTGACAACCTCCAGTGAAGTTGTACATTGGGTGGTGGCCACGTTCAGTAGTATATAGTCAAATTAGATAGATTGCTGGATATGGAGCATGTGCTCATACGCTGTGCCTTTTGGTTCCAGGAAGAAGATATATTGATCAGGGTTATCGTCTATTTCGATGATGAATCAAATGCGATTAGGTTCTTCGTGAGGCAGGATTAGATTATTGTGGTCTACAATATTGGGATATAGTTAGGGCTGTGTACGTTATGTTAGCTATTCTAATAGGTTCGATACATTCGATCCGGACCCGTTTCTTACCTTCTACTGTTTATCGTCTCCCTACGACGCTCATCGGTTCTGGCCATAGCTTCGTTTCCAGTCAGCAAGGGCGATATCCTTCCCTAGAAACGTTTTGCTGGGCGGTGGCTGCTTCGATACATTTCCAATGGCTACGCAGGGTTCCAAATGCTTCAACTGTGGTGGCGAAGGCCACTTTACACGTGAATGCCCTTCGAACCGTTCGTCTGCGGCTCTTGGCGGTGGGAATGGTGTTGGTAATGCTACTACACCTGCACGCTATTGGACGCCGCGGTGGAACTATAATGAGGATACAGAGGAGAAGGAGTTCTTGCATCAGCTCATCCAAGAGAAGAGGGAGGAACAAGCGAAGAGGAGGGAGTTCGAGGAGAAGAGGAAGATGAATGAGATGATTAGATTAGAGATCGAGAGGAACTCGGAGGCGGTAGAAGCAAGGGTCATGTCCAAAATTGGGCGCCAACTTCTTGAGGCTCGCGAGGAGGCGAGGAGAGAAGAAGTTAGGTTCACCCGTACACCGGTGCCAGTTTACAGAGATACGGGGGTCAAGGAGTACACGGATAAAGGGCTGGAAGAGATCGAGGATGAGATCGCAAAATTGTATGAATTGCGGGAGAAGAAACGGAAGGGTAAGATTCCATTAGAGGAAGGGTCGCGGAAGCCTTTCAGACAGCCGAATTTCCAACGAGAAGCATCTGATGATTACGAAGCGGGGGAGTCCTCTCGAATGGCTGAAGAGCGGTCATGTACCAAGGTGTGTGCTGGCAGTGGTCCTGAGGGGGTGCTGGCGTTCGTGCTAGCGCAGCACCGGATTCTTACCCCGAAGAGCAAGGAACAGTTGAAACATGTCTGCCGAACTGAAGGGTTAACTTACACAACCAAAGGTCCTACTATCGAGCGGATCATTGAAGCCAGGACGCAACTTGCTTATGAGGGTTTTGTCTTCGCTCCTTCCCCTTGACCAGCGGTAAGTCAGGAAGATGAGAGGACGCCGGGTAAGTGATTGTCTGATTTTTTCTGGTTACAATTGTGGGCGAATTTGATCGTCTGCTTACGCCTACGATGCTCGGCTTGGTTGTCAGGTGCTCCTTCTCGCCTCCGGTCTTCGTATGATGTGTGTGTTACTTTACTTATGGTCGTGCTCTCCCTCTTGGATGAGGTCCGCTGGGTAAGTAAGTTTACGTCGCTTCTGTTGTCAATTGACTGAGATGCCTGGAGGACTGGCCCGGTGGTGTACGTACTTGCATTGCCTTGGTGCAAAGCTCAGTACATAGGTTGTTCGGATAGAGGAATTTTCATCAGATGGGGTGAACATGTACGTACGGTATGGGCTAGGAGCACAGGTGTATGTCCGCAACTTTACAAATGGTTGTCATTTTTTGGTGTTTGGCATTATATACCTCTGCTGCTGGTTAACGGGGTATTATCGGTGGATAAAGCTGAGAAACTTTTGATTAGAAATTTCTCACCTTCGCTGAACTATCGGCGGAAATTGCGACAGGCTAAACCTACCAGTAGACCTTGTCGTACCAAGAGGGTGGGTTTGGGATCACGACCGGTTGTTTTCTCTGTTCTGAGGTTCCGAGTGCATGGTGGCGACTGGACACCTAGTTTGATTGATCTATTGAGATGGGCTTATAGTTCAGGCCTTAAGGATTTTACGATCCAGGTTACACCCGACAATCGTTGGTCGGATGCTTGGTCTGTGTTACGTCGTATCTTTGGCCTAACTACAGTTTTTGTTGGCAGTAGATGTTTTCTTCTTAGATCTCAAGCAGGAGTTCCAACTGGGGGGCGAATGGCTTATTGGTTTGGTCCGGCTTACCCCTACCAGTAGGAGTGTCTGCAAATTGCATTTGGCACGTTTGTTGGCACAACTCTGGACTTGGAAATTCCTTAGGTTCAGGAGTATTGATTTTCTGGTCCGATGGTTTCAGGTTGTTCGCTGTTTTTTGGCTAAAGATGCCCGTACGCGCCTCCAAGGCATTTTGGCCCGTGGTATTAAACTTCGGATAGGGATCGATGTTAGGAGAAGGATTCTCGTACGACTCTTTTATGATCATTGCGTGTCGTCCTCGGCTGTGCACTCTTTGATGTTGAAAATTCTTGATTTTTCGGCTTTTCTTGAATCAGTTCGTAATCTTCTCAAACGTAAGCTAAGGTTTGTTTGGCAAAAGAATGTGCCGGTATCGGGTTATATTTGGTCATTTAAGAGGTTCTCCGTTTCCGAGGGTCGGACATCCTGTGGGTGTCACCTTGAGCCTACCTAGGAGCATATGGGGTTTCATGTCAGGACCCGGATCGGCCAGATTCCCGGGGTGCCTTTGCTGCTCCTCAATTCCAGGAATATACCGCGATTCCGACCTCTGACGGGTACGGTTGAGCTGGGTAGACAGCTTGTTTCAATGGCTTCCTACCTCAGATCTTCTTGGGTGCTTGATAGGGATGCTTTGTTGACATGCTGGTCAACTGAGGATGTTCGCCACCCTCAGGAAGAGGTACTTAGTTTGCCGAATTGGGGTGCTTGATTGCGCAATTTTGTATGTGTTCCCGTGGATCGGAACGTCTCGGATACACTGGTTATGTGTCCAGTGTTGTATGAACAGTACCTGCAAATGACGTTCAACTGGAATCTGTCTTTCCAACCGTCGGAGGTCGGAGAAGTTTCGGTCTTAACGTCTATGAAATTGGTTTTCGAGTCTGAAGGACTGTCGAGTCTAGGTAAATGGGATTCAACTGGGAGTTTTGGCAACGCCTATGTTTTACCTAAGCATAAGGACTTGTCACGTTGGCGCCCAATTTCCCCGACTTGCAATGAGCCAACCAGATTGGCCAGTGGCCGTGTGGCTCATGCTTTGAATTGTTTGTTGTTTGCTCTTCCCCTTCGCTCCAGCTTCAATCTCAAAGTTGTTCCTGATGTGATCCATGGGCTCTCTCGAATGGTCCGGAATTTTCGTGGTTTGACCGGTTACCGGGACCTGTTATCAGCCTCTTTCGACATTAAAGACATTTTTGTGTCTTTGCCACATGTGGACATCTTTCGTAGTGTCGAGTGGTTGCTTCATTATTTTGACGGCAAAGGCTGTCGAGGAGTGAATGTGGCAAGGAGAGGTAAGAAGGCCTGGGTATCTTTCCGAAGAAAGAAAGATGATTGTATCTTTGTCTCTTTTGACAATATCCATGATATGGTAGCTTTCGACCTTCGTTTCTCTTACATTAACTCGGCGGGGGTATTACTTAAACAGGTGATTGGGGTTCCAATGGGGAAAGCTTCGAGCTGCCCTCTTGCTTGTATTTTGTGCTCCTTCGCTGAGCTTAAGTTTTTGAAAAGCTTGGGGGCTGATCAGGTTCTCTTCGAAGGTTTCCGGATAGTTGATGACGTCTCAGTGTTCATAGCGGTCACTCTCTACTGTGATGAACAGATGGAGTACCTTTTACTTCATCGGTTTGCACAGTGTTACGGGTCTGTTCTGCGTCTGGTCCGAACGGATATGTCGCAGGGAAGTTCGTCTTTTGCAGGTGTGCACATTCATCGTGTTGGGACTTCTATCAGGACAGTCGCAACTTTGAAGAATATGCCTTTTATTTGGCACGAGGGACGTTTGTTTTTTTGTTGTTTTCAGGACTATGGCTCCTATTCGGCAAAGAAGGCCAAGATCGGGCCAATTTTGAGTACGCTACACAGGGTTTTTGTATTGACACCCAATTAATGGGGGCGACATGAGTTGCTGCTTGCAATCAGGAGAGAGCTACTTATGCGCTCCTACCCGACCTGCCTGATCGATTCCACTTTCTGGCGTTTCGGCAGAAAACTGGGTGGTGAGGTCTTAGAAGTGATAGGAGCCTGTGTCTCAACTAGGGCTTGGTAGGCTTACCAAGCAATGGTCATTACGCTGGTTTCTGTTTTTTCTTTTGATAGGTATCTCCGCGCCTACGGCAGGATGATGTTTTTTGGGGGTCGCTGTCTAGTTACCTGTTTCTGATGACTCAGATCAGGCCGACAACGGGGTGCGAAGGCCTATCCTTTTTCCGATACTGGGATGACTGGGGTTATTTTTCGGGGGTTGCCTGTCTGATACTTGATCGGATCAGGCCGGTAGCAGGGTGCGTTGGCCTCTTGGGTTTTTTCCGAGGCTGGGATGACTTTACCGTTTGTTCTGACGCGTGCCAAGAGTCCCTTATGGCCACCACTGGACC